CCATGATGCTGGGTTGGCATAGGCTTTGGTACTGCCAAGAGCGGAGGTGCCGGGCTGCAGCCCCAGCTTCCAGGCATGTGGCTGCCTGGCAGCTGGGCTTGCAGCTTGTGCTGCCATGCTGGCCCTGTGCCCTCACCAGCAGGTCCCACTACCTGCAAAGCCTGCTGAATGTGGATCCCTCATGCATGTGGGCACGGCAATGCAGCCACCATGCCCTCTCCCCCCCGGCCTTTGCAAAGGCATGCTTTCCTGCTGCACCATGCTCCCCAGCAAGAGGCTCAGTGGCCTGCATAGGAGGGAAGGAGGCAGATGCTGGGCAGCCCCTCGGGGCAGGGAGGCACAGGCAGGGAGGTCAGGCTGAACAGCCTGTACCAACCTCGAACTAAGCAGATTCCCGGGGAAATGAGAGGAAATTAAGAGGGCTCTCAGCACTCCATAGAGTAGCAGTTCTGTATGAACTCAGTCATTTAGAAAAACATTGCTTGTGAGTGGGAAATAACCAGGAGTCATTAGCAATTCCGAGCACTGTTGCAGCCTCCACGTGGCAGCAGAAAGTCTCCCCACTGCTCAGGAAGCTGCCTGCACAGAGAGGGTGCAGCCCCATTCCCACCACATGGTGCAGGAAGCCCCTTTTCCTATGGCACGGGCAGGCTCTGATCCTGGGGACAGTGCTGCTGCAGGGAAACCTCCCCAAAGTGGTGGGACTGGCCCACACCACAGAACATCATTCCCAGCAGGTCCCAGCCAGCTGCTGTCTGCACTGGGGAAATGCTCACACCATCCTTGCCCAAGGCAGTACCTGTGGTGGCAATGCAGTCAAAGCCCACAAAAGCATAGAAGCAGGTGGCAGCACCGGTCAAGATGCCTTCCAGTCCAAAGGGAACAAACCCACCAGAACCGAAGTCTTTTTTTCTGGAAAGGAGGGAGAAGAGCAGCTGCCATAGGGTGCCTGTGGCAGCCCTGTGTCAGACTCTGGCCTGGCACAGTTGCTCTCCTCACTCAATGTCATCCAGCAGGTCCAGGTGTGAGCGGTTAACGTAGTCCTCCTCCAAGAGCTGCCAGTTTTTGATGTCTCCCTTCACAAAGCCAGAAATGATGACAAAGCCCAGCACCACCAGGTTCACTGCCGTGAAGATTTTGTTCACAAGGGCAGATTCACTGACACCGAAGGCAAGCAGTGCTGTGGGGATGGAATGGATGAGTGGGGACCCACCAGGCTCCCACGCCACCACCCACAGTGCCACGGAGCTATTCCTACACACTCACCAGTGAGTAGACCAATCAGGACTGGGGCAAAGAAGTCTGGGCGCTCAGCCAGCACTCCTGGCAGGTGCATTGTGGCCTTGTTCATGAAGAAGGCGGAGATGTGGTTGCCAATGATGTTGTCGAATGCCGCACTCCAGGCTCGAGCCACGCTGGCTGTGCCTGGTCGATGGCAAATCTATGCATCAGTCCAAGCCAAGAGCAGAGCAGCACCAGCAACCCCCACTCTAGCAGCCATCTCCCTGCTGATCCCACACCCTGCTCCCACAGTGCCCCATGCTGCTAGTGTGGTGCTGGAAGGAGCTCAGGCACACGTGCCAGAACCCTGCCTGGCCCCATACCTATCACGTAGGAGAGGATGAGGTTCCAGCCAGTTGTGAAAGCCCAGATCTCGCCTACGGTGACATAGCTGTAGAGGTAGGCAGAGCCAGTCTTGGGGACACGGGCCCCAAACTCTGCGTAGCAGAGCCCAGCCAGTACTGATGAGAAAGCAGCCACCAGAAAGCAGAGAACAATAGACGGACCAGCCATCTCCTTGGCTACCTCCCCAGCCAGCACATACACACCGGCCCCCAGCGTGCTGCCCACCCCCAGGGCTATGAGGTCCAGCGTGGAAAGGCAGCGAGCAAAACGTGTGTCCTCAGAGCTCAGATCCACCACACGCCGGCGAATCAGCTTCTTCCCAATGCTGGTCATTTTTCCTCTGAACATCTTGTCCTCTTCTGGGTGGTGTTCAGATGCTCGAAATCCCTGCAGTGGAAGGGACCACAGAAGTGTGAAGCTTAGTGTCCTGCAGGCAGGAGGATCCACAGTGCAGGGAGCAGGGAATGCCCACAGGGGTTGTGCTTGCTCCCAGTTGACTTGTGGTATCAAGCCCCCACCATGCTGGTGGGGCAGAGATCATGGCAGCTTCCGCCAAGGCATCATGGGACTGCACATATGCCCCCTGCACAGCCCCTGCACCAGGAGAGCAAGCAGGATGAACTCAGCGAGTCCATGGTGGGAAACAGACTCGCTGCTCAATTCCTGTGTGGCTCCCCCCACAGGACCCCCGGGCACATCCCAGAGCTTGCCCACTGTCTTCCAGCAACTCCCCACTGATTTGGCAGCCTGGAGATCCCTCAGCCCAAACCTGACTGCTAGTGCATCCTTCCAGTCTGACACATGGGCATGCACAGCAGCAATGGCAGGGAGACAAAGCATTCCTCAAGTGGAGGATTCGGCAGGCTGGTCTGACTCACTGGGATGCAGCCATTTCTCCTTTGCTCCGAGCATCTGCATTACGCTCTCAGCAGAGACGCACGGCCAGACACACAGTGCAGCCCCTCCGGTGCATATCCCTTGCATGCTGATGCCACTTGCCAAGCAGTGCACATGCTCCACAGGCTGAAATTGCCCTAAACGTTTGACACCATGACTCCCCTTGCTCCGTGGAGCAGTCAGCCAGCACTCGGTGAGAGGAGACACAAGGAATGAGGCTCCCAACACCTATGGCTACGGCTGGCACCCTGTGCCTAGCACTGGACCACTCAGAATCACAGAATCACAGAATGTTAGGGGTTGGAAGAGACCTGTGAAGATCATCTAGTCTAACCTTCATCCCAGCATATCTAACCACTACACCATAGCCTCAAGTGCTAGATCTACTTTTTTTTTAAACACCTCCAGGGTTGGTGACTCCACCACCTCCCTGGGCAGCCTGTTCCAGTGCCTCACCACTCATTCAGTAAAGAACTTCCCCCGAATAGCCAATCTAAACTTACCCTGACGCAACTTGAGGCCATTTCCCCTTGTCCTGTCATTAGTAATTAGAGAGAAGAGACCAGCACCAGCCTCACTACAGCCTCCTTTTAGGTAGTTGTGGGCAATAAGGTCTCCTCTCAGCCTCCTCTTCTCCAGACTAAACAAACCCAGTTCCCTCAGCCGCTCTTCATAGGTCATGTTTTCCAGACCTCTCACAAGCCTTGTTGCCCTTCTCTGCACCCGCTCCAGCACCTTGATGTCCTTCTTGTACTGTGGTGACCAAAACTGGACATAGTACTCGAGGTGAGTACTCACTCACCCACCAGCACCTTCTCCCTGCCTGCTACACTGTGAAATGAAACACACTCCAGCCAGGCATCCAGCGCAGCACTGACGTGGTGCTATAATGGATCAGTGCAAGCATACATGATGATAACTTTTTTTATACCCAGAGAGATTACCATTGTTGCAGCGGTAGCCACTAGGTCAGCTACTTCTCCAAAACTAGCAAACCAGACCATTTCTGGAGAAACCCTTTCCTGACCTGGCACATGTGTCATTCAGCATTAGCCTAAGAAGCTGTCCCAGCCCAGAGCACTGCCTAGGCCAGGTTTCAAAGGAACAAGTGCCCCAGCACTGACACTCGCCCCAATCACTGTCTGGACAGCTCCGGCTGCCTTCCCCAGTGCTGCTCAATTGCCCCAGGCATTTCTGTCGCCTGACACAAGCTCTGCAAATGGGGCTGGCAGCAGAAATGTGCTCAACCCTTATTCCCAGAGTAGAACAGAGAAAAGAGCACGAGTGGTGCCGAGTAGGAAGATGTGGGGCAGCCTACCCTTCCTAATGCCCGTGGGCCCTGCGGCACTGGGACACGCCATGCCTGGTGAAACGAACACGTTAAGCACTCAGACCTTCCCCAGCACCCGTCAAAGCCGGCGCAGCAGTGAAACCGTGTTTTTCAGTGAACTGAAAGCTCAGGCCAGTCGGTTGGCTGAGGTGAGGCTCAGTTCATGGCCAGAGAAGTGTATCGGAGAAAGCAACGCTGTCACGTTGGCACTCAAAATGGAGAGTGTGCAGGGAGCTACAGAGAAGAAGC